AAAGAGTGGGTGCTTATCTTCCTCTTCTTGCTACCTGTTCTTGGTGGGGGTGGATGAAATGGAAGGAGATATAAGGGTTGGATAATGGAGACCAGAACACCTATATATGTGTATCACAATATCCATGTGTTGTATAGTCTAATTATAACCTCAGATGTATATATACAACTACAACCAACAAAATAAATGGAAATTAATGCATATAATGCATGAATCTGAAAGCAATTTTTAATGGATGCTTTAAAATTTCAGTAGCAACCCTTGTTGTCTGCTATTATATGTAGTTTATATATGTTATTTTTCACATGAATTTTTGCATAGGACCACTTATTCCAAAGTATTATTTTTAATATTTTAAAAATTATTTTTCCAAATAAGTTTATACTTATATTTATGATGTCATGCATAAGAGCAGGTGGCTAGGGGATGAATATCCCCTTTCTCTCCTCCTGTGCTCATTATAGACTTGTGGTTGGATTGACTGTAGCACCTGTAGAGAGCTTCTTGCTGAACCAATACGTGGGAAGATCGGACTCATCAGTATGTGTATGGAAAGTAGAAAGTGGTAGTAGTGGAAAGCAGCCATGGACCCTATTGATCAAGAATGTCTTCTTAGAATCTCTCTAAATTGTAAAGCTGCTGTGCTTGTTCCGCAAGGACCTTATTCGGACTGGACTGGAAATGCTGTTTTTTCCAGTGGGTTACTACTGCTGGCTAACCCTGAGGGAGGTTTAAAAGTCTTCCCCAGAGAATATTGGTTTCCTCCTATAGATTGCTCTGGTGACACAGAAACATTTATAAGTGAGAAGATAGGTAATTTATACTTCACTAGCTATAGTGAATCAGTTCTTTGCTTTTAAGTTTCAACTCTTGCTTAGGTTGCAGAACTTTTGGAACAGTTGAGTATGAACTCATCTAGTGTTGTATACTGAATTTTTTTCAAGGATATCATTCTGCAACTGCTCAATTTCATTTTGGTATAGACTGGTGCAACAGAAACTCATGCTCTTTTCAACATTTCTATTTTTTGCTATATGTTGTTGTCCAGCAATTAGAATTAAATTACTGATGACAGAATATTTTTCACTTGTCATCTGCTAAATTACGTATTTCTGTAGCCATATTCTAGCTAAAATGCACTATTGGATGAAAATCTCAAAACACATGAAAGGTCAATGATTTCTTTAGTTTTGAGCAGTCATGTCTTGCATGTCATTGGTGACACCTCTGCAGACATGAGAATAACTCAGTGTAGACCAGGGTTTATGGTGGAAAATGAATTCATTATATGATAGCAAGATAATTCAGGTATTGCTTGGCAAGTAGGTAAAGAGAGTGTTGCCCACAGGAGGCTTGTATTTTGGAATTTTTACCAAAATTGTCCTATTTTTATTGTATGAGATATTTTATGTAATTTTTAAGCATACTTTTGCTATGGAGTTGTATAAATGTGGATTGCTATATTTGGATTCATAGGTACAAAGGTCACTGAAGTTACTGGATTTACATCACTTTGGAGAGAAAAAACGTGATACTGAACCTTTCTTTATGCTTGCTGCTGTTTTGTTTGTTTAAATATATTCAGTTTTTTAGTAAGAAACTTACACTATAGTAGAGTTACTCATTAGAAAGTAATGAATGAGAGGGCAGGTCGTTTTGTGAAGATTAGTACCTCTCTGGAGTGAGTGAAGGTCAGAATTCAGATGATTGCTAATTCTCAGGGACTGACCTTTGTTTGATACACAGTATTAATTATCATTATTGGTTGACAGCCGGCTGAACACGAGCCGACAGTGTGCCCAGGTGGCCAAGAAGGCCAACAGCGTCCTGGCCTGTATCAGAAACAGTGTGGCCAGCAGGAGTAGGGAAGTGATTGTGCCCCTGTACTCGGCACTGGGGGGGCTGCAGCTCGAATGCTGTATTCAGTTTTGGACCCCTCACTACAAGAAGGATGTTGAATTGCTGGTGAAGGGTCTGGAGCACAAGTCTTGGAAGAAGCAGCTGAGGGAAGTGGTGTGTTCAGTGTGGAGAAGAGGAGGCTGAGGGGAGACCTCATCGCTCTCTACAACTGTCTGAAAGGGGGTTGTGGTGAGGTGGCTGTTGGTCTCTTCTCCCAAGTAACTAGTGATAGGACGAGAGGAAATGGCCTCAAAGTTGCGCCAGGGGAGGTTTAGACTAGATACTAGGGAAAATTTCTTTGCTGAGAGAGTGGTCAAGCATTGGAACAGGCTGCCCAGGGAGGGGGGGGGGGCACCCTACCAAGATAGTGGTCAAGCATTGGAACAGGCTGCCAGGGAGGTGGTGGAGTCACCATCACTGGAAGTGTTCAAAAAACGTGTAGACATGGCACTTTGGGACATGGTTTAGTGGGCATGGTGGTGTTGGGTTGATGGTTGGACTTGATGATCTTAAAGATCTTTTCCAACCTTAATGATTCTGTGATTCTGTGATCATAGGCCCAAATGGACAGAAAATGATCCCTGGCTTATCTGAAGTGGGAAAAGCTGCCTAGAACTGGGATTCTCAAAAATCCTTGACTTCACTGGGAACAGAGTTACAGCAATGTAAAGTGCTTTGGAATATCTCAGGGATGTGGTTTAGTGGTGGACTTGGCAGCGCTAGGTTAAGGATTGGACTCTATGGTCTGAAAGGTCTTTTACAATCTGAGTCATTCTATGACTCTATGGGTCTATGTCAGTGTGAAACCTACACAAAATTTCAGCAGTTCTTAATTATAATTCTTAGTTAACCCTTATGTGAGGAAGAAAAAATGTCTTTATAATTCTTCCATGCATAAATCCCAGTCATGAGGCTCATGTGTGTAGGTCAAGATTTATACCCAAAGGTGTTCTTATTTCATCTTTTCAGTCATACTACCGTTGTGTGGAATTTTGTGGCTAGCATAAGGAGGCTTAAATCAGTTAGCAGGAAAGGTCCCCCCAGTGCAGTATTTTCTCTTTGATGGTAGGCAGGGGCATATAAGTACTAAAGTGTTGGAACAAGACATTTACAGAATGAGACTTTACTGATAAACTCTCAGATGAGCCAGCAATTTGCAGCTTACTCTTACCAGAGGTTAGCATCTTTGCTTTAGCAACATCTGTGTCCCATTCAGCAATGGTCTCCACGGTGCAATTGCACATGTATAAATGGGTTGTGTTTCCTACAGTAGTCTTTAAATGCTACATGTATAGGTGGCATTGCAGAAACATAGCAAAAGGTGGTGGGTGACGTGCTCCTCTGTTCTTTCTTTTATCAGACGGTTGAAAAACAGCAAAGCATCTACAGATGGCCATCGTTACCTTTTTCGGGGCAGAATAAACACAGAAGTGATGGAAGTAGAGAATGTAGATGATGGAACAGGTGAGTATATTTGTGTTGCTCATTTACAGACCAGTCTTTCAAGGTGCTAGGATCAAATGCAGTCTTACGATTTCTTTGAGAATGGAGAGTGCTCCTTGTACTTAGAAAGAAAGAGTAAGATGCCACTTTAAAAGCGCTATCTGCTCATATCAAAACTTTGCTACTGTGACACATCATTGCTTTCATACATTATTAGCTGGCCAGTCCTAGCTGACTGGTTTACGCTAACATGAACAGAGTAATAAAATAAGGTGACATTTATTGCTCAACTGAAATCATATATTTAACTTCACTTTACAGCTTTCTAGCACTCCCAAATAGATTATCCCTAGGTATGTGATATATTTTAAAAGCAAACAGAAAAGTTGCCTCTGTTGGAATGAAACCTCAAGCACTATAAATGCTGAAATTGTAACGTAAGTGTTTAAGAAAAAAGGAGAGTTTTTTTAATACCTTTAGGGATATAATCCATGTGATTGCTTTAAATTTTCCTGACATACATTAGAAAAGTGAAAACCCAAAGTATTCGTACAAATGTCGGTTTCTGTTTTAGAAACTTGTGAACTTGAGTTTAACCTTTGAGCTAAACAATTATTATTCCCTTACAATTAATAAAGAAAACCTAAAACATTTTGGCCTTTTTTGTGAAAAACTAAAAAAAATATGAGAAACTTGCAGTGGCATTGCAAATATGTAGGTCTGGAGGAAATTTCTGTGAGTTATATATTACTTCTGATTTTAAAATAACATTAGGTTTGCCCTACATCTACTCTGGATTCCAAGTATTTCTTAATGTAATTTCTTTATAAAATTGACCATTCATGACAAAGATTGTACAGCTTAAGTAAGCTTCATAGAAGTTAAATATTTCTTAAAAATTAAGTTTTGGTTGGGTTTTTTTTTCTCATCTTGAGTTCCTTGTTTTCAAAATAGTTCTCTCACTTCTTGTTCTACTGGGTGGACTTGGAGAACAGTTGGACTATTGTTCTTATTGCAAATAACTTATTGGAAGGCTGTTGTGTCTCTCCTCCATCTCTTCTTTTTAAGTCTTTCAACCTTTTATCACGGGTCGTGTTTTCTAAGTTTTTGTTACTTTTTGCATTCTTTGGAGTTTCGTGATTTTTTTTCAGTTTGTTTGCATCTTTTGTATTATGAGGTGTCCAGAGCTGAAACTTTGCTGGTGCCAAGTAGAACAGAATAATTACTGTAGTGCTGCATGTGGGGTGTCTCTTACTAATCCCAGGATTTTTTGGCTTTTCTGAGAGCATTATTTTTCAGTTTTTTAGTTTGTGTTCCAGAATACCACACCAGATCCTTTTGTGCAGTACTGGTACCTATCCCATTACATCTTATACTGTGCTAATATCTGAGGGTAGTAACTAATAATTACTTTCTTTTCTCTACTGAATTTTGTCTTACTGTTTCCACAAATTTTGAAGCATTCAGAATTCACGTGTTATTCCCCAAAGCTCTTGCACTTGGTTCATTCTCTTTGATTATGACACATTCTTTGTAAGA